TCGTCCTCATCCTCATCTTCATCCTTATCATCACCGTCATCATTATCCTCCTCCTCATCCTCGTCATCGTCATCGCCATCGTCAACATTACCACCACAATCGTAATCATCATCATCATCAACACCACCAGCATCATCATCAGCAGCATCATCATCATCAGCAGCAGCCTTATCATCATCAGCATCAGCATCATCATCATCACCATCACCAACATCATCATCACCATCATTGTCATCATCATCACCATCCTCATCGCCATCCTTATCCTCACCGTCATCATCATCCTCATCAACATCCTCATCGTCATCCACATCATCCTCATCCTCATCCTCATCCTCGTCCTCAGCATCATCGTCACCCTCATTCATCATCATCGTCATCGTCATCGTCACCATCACCAGCACAATCGTCATCATCATCATCACCACCACCAGCATCATCACCATTATCATAATCATCACCACCATCATCACCAGCATCATCAACATTATCACCATCACCATCACCAGCACCATCATCATCAGCAGCAGCATCATCAGCATCACCATCACCATCACCATCACCATCACCATCATCATCATCATCATCATCATCATCATCATCATCATCATCATCATCATCATCATCACCTTCATCATCATCATCATCATCACCATCATCAGCAGCATCATCGTCTCCTCCTCCTCCTCCTCCTCCTCCTCCTCCTCCTCCTCTCCTCCCTCCTCCTCCTCCTCCTCCTCATCCTCCTCCTCCTCCTCCTGCTTCCCGACGCCGTTCCTTCTAGGGCAAAGGGAAAATCCCAGGGGACGCACGGGGCGCCACTAAGAGTTCTCTGAGCACGAGGAGCACCCCTGAGCAGCCCCTTATCCAGCGCACGGCCGGGCGGCAACGGCCTGGGATTCGGTCGGGCATGTCCCCCCCCCCTTACAGGCGGATTCGAGACGAAAAATAAAAGATAGCCAAAGCATATCCCAAACATGATCAAAAGTAGTCGGGAAATCGTTTCAAGACTATGTTTCGACTACTCTTGTATCTTCCCCCTGGGAACTTATGCCTTCACACCCAGGGCAAGCGCGGCCCTCCCCCGAGGGAGGCCCTGCCACCGTTGGCCTGGATGCCCACCCCTAGCGTTGGGGAGGCACGGGCGCCCGCCTGCTGGCGCCTGGAGCTCGGCTGCCCGCCCCTCGTGGACGAGCAGATATCCCGCCCTCGCACTGAGGGGCTCGAGCGTCCCGCCCTCGAATCGAGGGGCTTTGAGCGCATGGGCATCCCGCCCTCGAACGGAAGGCGGGATGCCCGTGCTCGGGCATCCCGCCCTCGAACTGAGGGGCTTGGAGAGCACAGGTATTTAGCTTTGGTCCGCTTCGATGGCCGCGGGACGGCCACAATATTGCCGCTGCGTGCGCGGCATCTTCGCCCTTCAAGGCGTTCAATGAGCACCGTATTGGCTTGGGTGCCAGTCTGGCACTGGATGCTAGGATACCCATCCCCGTTGATGGCCAACACGAGTCCAATTGGGCGCCCGAGTTATCCGGGGTAACTCGGGTCCGGGGTAACTCGGGTTTGGATTCCCGAAAAAGGAACCCGAGTTAGCCCTGACCCGAGTTAAGCCTGATGATTTGGGGCTCTGGACGCCCGAATTATTCGGGGTAACTCGGGCCCGGGGTAACTCGGGTTCGGATTACGAACCCGAGTTAGCCCTGACCCGAGTTACCCCTGATGATTCGGGGCTCTGATCCAATGCTGCGGCCTGTCGCCTCCCGACAACGCCCGGGGTGCCCACGCCCAGCGTCGCCGGCTGCGGCGCCACGCGCGCCGTCGGGGCCGCCGCCCGTTGAGGCCGCAGCGCCCTGCGTCCTGCGTCCTGCGGTGCCGCGAGACGGCGCGTTCTCCGTCGACGCTCGTGTTCAGTCAAGCGTGCAAAAAAAATTCGACGAAACATAAAAAGTACGCAGACAATGCTCAAAAACGGTCAAAAAGTACTCAAAAAAATAGTCCCCGCACTATGTTCCTACTGTTTTGTTGAATATTCCCCCTGTAGAGGGACGGGCCCGACTTCACGCTCGTGGTGCCAGGGCGGAGATGCCCCAGAAGGGCGGGTGGGTGGCGGAAAGAATGCGCGCGAGGGCGCGCCCAGGGCACGCGCCCAGGCAGCCCGCCCGAGCCCCCCCCCCCCCGTAGAGGTTGTATCTCAGCGCCCTGGAGCTCCACCGAAGGCCCCGGTGCCCCCGCCCGCAGGCGTCCCAGAAGCCCAATGTGGCATTGTCACCCACCCAGTGCGGCGCTTCGTGGCCCCATAAAGGGGGCTCCACCCAAGGCCCCAGTGCCACCGTCCGCATGCGTCCAGGAAATGTAATTTGGCATTTTCACCCGCGCAGTGCAGCGTTTCGTTGCCCCATAAGGGGGCTCCACCGAAGCCCCCAGTGGGACCGTCCGCATGCGTCCCGGAAGCACAATTTGGCATTTTCGCTCACTCAGTAGAGCGCTTCTTCGTGGCCCCATAGGGAGCTCAACCGAAGCCCTCAGTGGGACCGTCCGCATGCGTCCCGGAAGCCCAATTCGGCACACCACCCACACAGTACAGCGTTCCCCCCCGCCCAGTGCAGCGCTTCGTGGCCCCATAGGGAGCTTCACAGAAGCAGATATTCACAATTACGGTACCCACAACTGCATATGGTTGGGACCTTCGCCAGGATAATTCCCAGATTATTTGTTCACTATTTCTTTCAATTATTCCTCCTGCCGAGGGACAGGCCCGACTTAGAGTCACGTATTTCACCCTCCTGGCTGCGTTGCCCCATCGGGCAAGAGGGTCAAGCTGAACCGTCGCACTTGAGGCAGGATATGGTGCTTGGACTCGTGCAGGACGGTGTGGCAGTGGGGGTTCTGGGGAGCTCTCCAGCAATCCCATAGTTTGCTCAGCAGTTGCCCTGTCCTCAAGCGGCACACCATGGTAATGCATCAGCCCTGTGGTCCCACCAACGGGGCTAAGACGTCGCGTGCGCGCGAGGTTCATTCTGTGTTGTGCATTGCGCGCAAGGCGATTGGGCAGAATTGGATGCCGCCGCAACGCTCGCTTGGGCCTGCTTAGGCGCACTCTTGTGCCCCAGTGGCATGACCGCCCATTCTGGTGTAATTGAAACGGGGGGCACTTACTGTCCACTCCATCGTGTCATCTGGTCTCGAGACTGTGCAGTCCGCTCTGGGCGGAAATGCTGGCAATCATGCACAGTCCCATGTGAGTGACGATGAGCAGAGATCGGGTTAGATACGGCAGCCTGCACCACGGATGGAACGAATCGCTAAGGCATCTGACCACGCCCCCAGCCCACTGGAGAGATCCGAGTGGGCTCCAATGGGCCCCAGGCGCAGCTGCGGCAGAAATGCATATGGGAATCTCCTCAGCCCTTTTCACGGTCCGGCTTGACCTTAAATGGACCGTCGAATTTGACCCCCATGGCTGCATTGCCCCGAGGCAGGATATGGATTCTCATCGGGTGGCACACCAAGGTGGTGCACCAGGCCGCTGGTCCCACCAATGTGGTTAAGGCGCCCCTGAGCCATATCACTTCAAGCTCCTCCTTCTCCTCCCCCTCCTCCTCCTCCTCCTCCTCCTCCTTCTCCTCCTCTTCCTCCTCCTCCTCCTCCTCGGCCACCCCCCTCCTCCTTCGCCCTCTGCCTTCCCCGACCTCTCCGCCCCTTCTCCCCGATCCAATTCCTCCTCCTCCTCCTGCTTCTCCTCTTCGCTTTCCTCGCTTTCCTCCTCCACTCTCCTCCTCCTCCTCCTCCTCTCTCTCTCCTCCTCCTCCTCCTGCTCTCCTCCTCCTCCTCCTCCTCCTCCTCCTCCTCCTCCTCCTCATCATCATCATCATCATCATCATCATCATCATCATCATCCAACCGCCTCCCCCTCCACCTCCCTCCACACCATTCCTATCCTCCTCCTCCTCCTCCTCCTCCTCCTCCTCCTCTCCTCCTCCCCTCTCCTCCTCCTCCTCCTCCTCTTCCCTCCTCCTCCTCCTCCTCCTCCTCCTCCTCCTCCTCCTCCTCCTCTCCCCCTCCCCCCCCCGTCCCCCTCCTCCTCCTCCTCCTCCTCCTCCTCCTCCTCCTCCTCCTCCTCCTCCTCCTCCTCCTCCTCTGGGCGGCGTCCGCACGGACTTGCACAGTGATCCCCAGAGGAAGCCCCGAGCCTTTGATGCTCTCCAGGGCTGTCTCACGTGTGTCGCACACTGCTCAGAGGTCGTGTGGTTGTTATGCTGGTGGTCCTCGCAGTCCCAAGGTCCACAGGCCGACAGTTGGAGGGCTACAGAACACTTGCTATGTGATCAAGACTGCGAGGCCTCATATATAATGGTGTTTGCGATTCCTCCGCATCTTGACTGGAAGGCGATCCTCTCCCGTGGTTGGCCTAGTTGGCTGGTTCAGGACAGCACTTGCGTAGACGCTGTAGCGGGCGAATCTGCCGAGCGAGCACGGCCACCACTTAGAGTGAGCGCCACCATGTCCTGCCGATTGAAAAGAAAGCTGCCAGTGCGCATCTCAAGTCGGGGCTCTCAGGCAGCTGGCCATGAGGAGCGGAGCTAGTCTTGCGGTCCTTCAGCTCCACCATCTGTTCCTGCTATTGCCATGGCTCGCTTCGCGTCCGCAATCATCCGGACAAATCGTGGAAGGCCGTGCAGGGTGTGCAAAGGTTATGCATCCAAGGCTATGCTGTCTGGCGGGTTGAAGCGAGTGTCTCATTCCAAGTTGTGGACAGTAAGTTCTCCCAAGTTCTGAGAGGAACCACTTTACATGTGGCGGGAGGCTGAGCCATCCCTCACGCGCCCTATACTTCTCATATAACCACGACCTTCTCATATGTTGTGACACATGCGGTTGTGACACATGCGGTTGTTTCAGTCAGACCCAGCTCACGTGTTTGAGTAAGCCGTCCACGCTCCGGGTTCTGGGACAAGCGCGAGCGTGCTGTTCGACATTACTGTGACAGATTGCCCAAGTGC